TCAGATTTCCTGGGAAAACTAGTAACTGGTGATGAGACATGGATCTACTGTTATGATCCTGAGACAAAGGAACAGTCTAAGGAATGGAGGCACAGTGGTTCTCCCAGGTCATAGAAGTTCCGAGTGCAAAGGTTGGTGCAGAAGCAAATGGCAATAGTTTTTGGGGATAAGAAGGGAGTTCTGCTGGTGGACTACCTCCAACAGGGTTCAACCATCAATGCAGAATATTACTGTGCTTTATTGATGAAGTTGAGGCAAAACATCAAGGAAAAACATCGAGGAAAGCTCTCCAAAGGTGTCATCCTGTTGCATTACAACACCTTGTCACGCACTGCAGGTGAAACAATGACAGAACTGACGTCCTTAGGCTTTCAAGTGATGCCCCATCCACACTATTCTCCTGACTTGGCTCCTTTTGACTATTATCTGTTCCCCAAACTCAAAAAACAGCTAAAGGGACAACAATTTGGGAGTGTTCTGGAGGTAACTAATGCTTCAAATCAGTGGTTACACCAGCAGTTGGAAGAATTTTATTTGCAGGGAGCTTCGTAGCTCAATTTTTCCTGGGAAAGGCTCAATACTTGTCAGCACCCCCTTTCTGATATTTTTTCAAACGATTGTTCTTAGTTATGTTCAAGAGGGCAATGATTGGCAATATCTGAATATCACATCCAATAATTTTTCTAATTTCCTTAAAAATCAGTGCCCATTCTTTCTTATTTCAGATGTCCACCACATATGTATATAGGTTCCTTTTTCTTTTTCTTTTTACATCTTCAGCATTGAGATGGTATATTTTTATTGATTATATTCACTTATTACTGCATTGTTTTCAAGGTGCTTTCAGAGCTTTATAATATGCTCCAGAATTCTGTCTGGGATTGATGCCATGTTGATTGGTCTGTAGTTCCCACGTTCTTCCTTTTTGCCCTTTTTGAAGACAGGGACTGTGTTAGCCCTCCTCTAGTCATATGGCACTTCACTCATCCTCCATAATTTCAAGAAAATAATAAGTAATGGTTCTGAGAGCTCCCCAGCCAGTTCCTTCAATGGATGCAGTTCTTCTGGACCTGGGGATATGAACTCATTAACAGTAATAAGTTTTTCCTTGACTATTTGTTTATCAATCTCAAGACCCAATCCTGTTCCCTCTATCTTTTGGGGAAACACTGAACTGAAGTAAGAATTTTTCTTTTTCTTTGACATCTGTTATTTTTTAAATCCCCATTGAGTAGCTGAGCCATTGTTTATTTTCTGTCTTTTGTTACCTGAATGTTCTCGCCATGAACAGTGAGGTTCACAGCTTGGAAATACATCTGGACCCAGCGCTCATCATGGAAACCCAGGTGGCGTCAGTGGTCCACTCCGCCAATTACCATCTGTGGCAGATTGCCCAGCTGCATCCCTATCTTGATGGTGGGGCCCTCACCACTCTGGTCCATGCACTTGTAATCTCAAGATTAAACCACTGTAATGCGCTCTATGTGGGGCTACCTTTGAGGTTGATGCGGAAGCTTCAAATGGTGCAGAACGCGGCGGCCAGACTTCTTAGTGGGGTGAGAAAACACAAGCATATCTCTCCCACTCTGGCTGCCTTACACTGGCTGCCCATTCGTTTCCGCATTGACTTCAAAGTGTTAATGACATACAAAGCCCTAAACGGTTTAGGACCTCGATATCTGGCAAAACGCCTTCTTCCACCTAGATCTACTCAAGTCACTCGCCATAGCCAGGAAAGACTGCTGAGGGGCCTGATGCCGAGAGAGGCCTGGAAAGAAAGAACAAGAAAACGGGCCCCTCGACTTTGGAACAGCCTTCCATCAGAGATCTGCCTGGCACCCTCACTGGGTGTTTTCAAGAGCCAATTAAAAACTTGGCTCTTTAGGCAGGCCTTCCCTCCTGCCAATACTTGATTTTTACTTTTCTTGGGTTTTTTGTTGTTTATTCTCCCATCTTGATTATATTATTATTGTAGATTTTGTGTACAATATTTTGTGAGCCACCCTGAGTGGACTCCTGTCTAGAAGAGCGGGATAAAAACCCAATAATAAATAAATAAAAATAAATAAAGTCCTAAACTAAAATTTTCAGTTCTTCCTTGTTTCCCATACTCCTGGAATTCATATATAGACACTGGAGATTGTGTGATTTCTGGCCTGCCTTCCTTCATACATTTTTATGAAGATTGTTATCGGCCCTGTTATAGCTGCTCGGTCGGTTCCTCTTTTTAAGCCTTCTCCTATCTTTACCTTTGAGCTTGCTTCTCCTTCCCACTTCCAATTCAGTTTAAAGTCCTCCCGATGAAGTCCTTATTGCCGTGGTCAAATACATTCTTCCCAGTTCTTGTGAAGTGCAACCCATCACTTACCAGCTGTGCATCTTCTAGGAAGCATAGCCTGTGTTCCCAAAATTCAAATCCCTCATGTTGGCATCACCTTTGAAGCCAGTTGTTCACCCCGGAGTATTTTGTTTTCCTGTTTTGTTTCTCTTCTGAGTACTGATAGAATGGACAAGAAAACTACAGTGGTGCCTCGCTAGACAATGATAATCCGTTCCACTGAAATCGCTGTTTAGCAAAATCATTGTCTAGCGAAAAGCATTTCCCAATTGGAATGCATTGAAACCTGTTTAATGCATTCCAATGGGGAAGAATCGTCATTGTCTAGCGAAGATTGGCCATGGGAAAGCCGCTTTGTGAACCACTGACCAGCTGTTTAAATAGCTGTCTTGTGAAGCTTAGATCCCAAAAACTCCTGTTTTGCGAGCGCGGAGGGAACTGTCAAAATCGTCGTCTAGCGAAAATCGGTTTGTGAAGCAGGGACCAAACATTGTCCAGCAAAATTCCCCCATAGGAATCACTGTTTTGCGAATCACTATAGCGATCGCAAAAAGTCAATGTCTAACGAAAAAACTGTCATGTGGGGTAACTGTCTAGCAAGGCGCCACTGTATTTAGGCTCCAAAGTACTTGAGTTTTCAAAATCTGTTACGATTTTTTTTTGTAGTTCCTCTTGGCTCTTTCATTTGTTCACAAGTGGGTGAGAAGAAAAGGATACAATTTTGTGGGTTTTATGACAATCTTGCCATCACACCCCTAATCTGTCCTCCAGGGAGACACATACCTGGCAGGTCCATGGATCTTCCTGGTATGTTTCTGTTTCAGTCCCATGCAGTATAGTAGAGAGACTTCTACTATTCTTCTCTTCTTCATTTAGTAGGTTTTGAGTTCTGTGTTTACATGGCTGAGTTTCACCCACATTCATGTCCTCTTGCAGGATCTCCTGTATGTGTACGTTTGCATGCTGCCTGCCAGAATCCTCTTCAAAAATCTAACAGTGATTTTGCAGTTCCACTGGTGCAGAGTGTCTTCTCAGTTTTTGCTCCTGTGACTCTTTTCCATGGAACGTCTTCTATTATGTTTCTTCTCTCCTCAGCATTCTCCTCTTCTGCTTTTTCTTGTTGTTCTTCTACTTCTAGCACCTCCCTTGCCATCTGCCACTGCTCAAGTCCTATCTATGTATTCTTCATCTTCTGTTATAGGCTTAAGAATTGTTACTTGCTGCTCCAGTTCTTTCATTTTTTTCCCCCTTCCAATAGTGCTACTACATTGCACTTGATGAATGTAGACAATGTGTTGTTCTCTGGCACAAAGACAAATATTGCACACACCTTGCAGGTTCACCACCACTGAAGTGTCTCTTTCCTTCATAATTCCTGTCGCATTTTATTTTCTTCTGTTTGTCTGTCCTTTGCCTTGAAGAATGCTGGAAAGTTCACTAATATATAACTATATCCAAAAACCAAAACTTTCTGTTAGGGGCCTCCCCTACCAAACTTCCCCATTAAACTCTTGTTATCTTTCCATATTCACTCAGTCTAATTCATTCCCTGGGGTCTGTCTCAGTTTTATTCTTTTACTGTGCTGTGTTAGGATCAGCAAACAGAAAGGATTAGCACTGCCTTGTATATCTCTTACCAAATATTTGTATGCTGAAATCCTGTACATGTTAATTCCATGCTGGTGGTAAGACAGAGAATGACATCAGGCGGGACAACTTTTTGGAAGCCAAACATTTTCTCCCATCCTAAACTCCCCATGGGTCCTGAGTAATCCCTTTTGTCATTGCAAATCCATTGAGGCTGTGGGACAGGAGGAGGAAGTCCTTAATTACCAAACATTACTGCTGCTAGGATGCCTTTACTATGACCACTGATTTTCAATAATTAAAGACAAATAGCACAGGTTTCTGACAATAAAGGGGATTATTTGGGACCTGTGGGGGAGAAGGAAATGTTGAATTTCCAAAAATTTACCGCACCTAGTGACTAGAAATGGGCGTATTCGTATATGAATACTAATATTCGCACGTAGCTGGACTTAACGAGGGTCTGGCCTCTGGGGCTGGATCGTCAACTCACATGTCCTGCTGTGGCACTGGTCCCACTCATACTTCCAATCGCTCCCCGAGTGCCTCTCTCTTCCTGCTCCGCTGTCCATTCAGCTGCCATGCAGGGAGACTCATCCTCCCTCCCCCTGCCTGGAGTGGACAGCTGAGCAAGAAGAGACCAGCACTCCAGGCACAATGGGAAGAACAAACGGGACGGGCACCACAGCAGGACAGTAAGTGGATGGTCTGGCCCCAGGGGCCAGACCCTTGTTAAGGCCAGCTGCGCAGGGATATTCGTATAGAACTGTAAAGCTGGAAGACACCCTATGGATCATCAGGTCCAGCCCTGTCAAGGAGGTACAGTGATGATCTTAACTCCCAATCACTGGCTTCACAGCCAGATACCTGGATTGCAAAGCTATCCACCACTGTGAAGACAGAGGCAGGTTGTTGAGTTTACTGCAGAAGAGTATTGGGTGGCTCATTGTTATGAAGCAGTGAGGACCTCATTGCTCACTAATTCCAAACTAGGAAAACATCTTGGCCAGTTATGACTTTAGGTTTGGTCTTTTCATGGTTTTTTTCAATAACTGTTTTTCTGATTGTTTTCCAGTTGCTATAGACCACCGTGTACAGTTCGAACGAAACGCTGTGAGTCTGGATTTTCTTACAGTGAAGAAGTATGCCGTTGTGTACCCACATATTGGAAAAGACCACTTATTAATTAGAGATGAAGATAACAACTGACAGTTTGGTGTACATTTTTCCTGTTCCTGTTTTCTTAAGACTGCTATCATTTTGGATTGACAGAACAGAAGAGACGTTATAGGACTGTCTGAGACAGACTTATTTGTGCTCGGAGGCACACGAAAAACAGATAGGCAAAACTGGGATTTTCTTCATTATAAAGAACTTGCCAAGGACTCAGTTTTGCCATTGGCCAACAGCCTAGGTTTTCTTCTTTATGATTTTTTTAAAAAGATAATGACTATATAATTTATTTCCATTTAAAATATTGTACTGCATTCCTGTTTATAGCAGTAACAACTGTTAAATCTCACTGTGATCAATATTTTTATATCGTTCAAAATATGTTTTAAATAAAATGAAATTGTATTATAGCTATTGAGCTTGTTACCTTTCCATATACTTTGAGCAATCTTTAGCCTTTACTATAGATGAAGAATAGGTGCACTTGAACTGCCCATTCCTAAGGGCATAGTAGACTAGATAACATTTCAAATACATTTTCTAGACTCTGCATGATTTTCATGTACAGGTTACTTTTGTTGCACCTTTCTGCATGGTCTATTCCCTGTGACTCATACACACTAATATTTGAAATATTGGGTGTAATTTTTCTTTATTAAGAGTCTTTTGATAGTCCTTTGATTTGCCTCTATAAATGCAATAACATTTGTATTTCTGTTTTGCTATTTTGTAGTTTATGTTTGAAATCTTTCCACATAATTAGTTATAAATAGGAGATGCTAATTTTTAAAAAAAATTAAATTCAAAGCAGTATCTAAGACCTTGCACTAAATTATGAGCACTAAATTATGTTATAAAGCTTGTAAATGTTTAACAGTAGAAGTGCTTCAGCTGTTGCTAGATAGTTGTTGAACTCCAACTGTATGTAGATGCTCATCAACCCTTCCATGACTCTCATTTCATAGCTCTGCATCCTTATTCAATTTATTCATGCATATTTATAAATGTTCTAGCTAGGTTTCAAATCCTATTTTCCATCCCATAGCTGTACATGTTCTTACTGATACAAATATGCATTCACAGAAACCACAACTTTGTAATCACGCTGTCTCTCACCAACAGTGTTGCTTCAAAACAGCAATAATCCAATTAAATGGAGGCAAACCATGCATGCTGCTACTCTAAAAGTAATTAGAAATTCTGCATGTAAAAATCCGAATAATGATTAAGCCAAACTTGAAACAGGAGTCACTCTATGGAATAATGTAGGACTTAGAACCCCACTAACTTTAATTCATTATGAAAACTTATATCTACCAAAATATCAACTTCCTTTGGTTTGTGCATTCTTCCTTAGGAATTCAGAACAAAGTCACTTTAAAAGGTTTGGCCTGTTTTGTAACTGAAATAATAAATATCTGTAATTGATAGGAATTGTGGTTTCAGTAGAACCAGGAAATCCCTTCAACACTATAACATGGGGTGTTCCTCCATATAGTATTTGTGTTCTTTGAAAGGGTAAGTTTATCATTCCACTCATTCCTTATTGATGTTTTGCAGCCATATTGTCAAAACGTAGAGCCAGACAATGTGTCATATTATTTGCCTTGTATGGACAGAGGTATATGCTATAGTATATCATTAGAGTCGTCGTTGTTTAGTTGTGTCCAACTCTTCGTGACCCCATGGACCAGAGCATGCCAGGCCCTCCTATCTTCCACTGCCTCTCGGAGTTGTGTCAAATTCACGTTGGTTGCTTCAAGGACCATCTCATCCTCGCTCGTCCCCTTCTCCGCTTGCCTTCACACTTCCCTAACATCAAGGTCTTTTCCAAGGAGTCTTCTCTTCTCATGAGATGGCCAAAGTATTGGAGCCTCAGCTTCAGGATCTGTCCTTCCAGTGAGCACTCAGGGTTGATTTCCTTTAGAATCGATAGGTTTGTTCTCCTTGCAGTCCAGGGGAATCTCAAGAGTCTCCTCCAGCACCACAATTCAAAAGTATCAATTCTTCGGCGGTCAGCTTTCTTTATAGTCCAGCTCTCACTTCCATACATCACTACAGCGAAAACCATAGCTTTGACTATGCGGACTTTTGTTGGCAAGGTGATGTCTCTGCTTTTTAAGATGCTGTCTAGGTTTGTCATCGCTTTCCTCCCAAGAAGCAGTCATCTTTTAATTTCGTGGCTGCTGTCTCCATCTGCAGTGATCATGGAGCCCAAGAAAGTAAAATCTGACACTGCCTCCGTGAAGGGGATCAGTAGGGCAGTGGTTCCCAAACATTTTCGATGTGAAGCTCCCATGCTTTACTGACCAAAGATTGCAGCTCCCCTTGCTCAGATGGGCCATCAGGGATCTCACTGCCACTTCTCCCTAGCCATCCCATTCCCCCTGCCGAATATCTCCAATTGCCCACTTCCTTCCAGGTCCTGATGCAGGAAACTCATGAGGTCACCCAGCAAGTGCCTCACCAGGGACCATAGAGAGGAGGCAAAGAGGGTAAGGCACACAGCCTCCACTTCCAGTTCCTGTTTGACACACAGCTATGAACATCTCCTCTACATTCTCTCCCTTTTCCCATGTTATCCTGGCTCAGATCCTGAGCTTCTCACAGACCTGTGGCACACCGTTTGGGAACTCCTGTATTAGGGGCTTATGGATACTGAAGTGAGGTTCACCATTAGTTCGCTTCACATGGAATGTCTCTAAAAGCTTCGTGCTGAAGCTGGGACTTTTCCTGAGCACCATTTGTCTTTATTGGCTATTGACCTGCATTCCTAGCATTATCTCTTGTGTTTGTCTCTACTTTCCCATTTAGCAGCTGCCTAAAACTGCACTTTTGCAGTACTAGCACCTTCAACAATTATTTGCAAAAAAAAAACCCTAACAGGCAAAATCCTGTTGTCCTCACTTTACATCGGTGTAACCCAAACCGGGCATCACAAACATTTCATTTAAAGTCATAGAAAGATTCCTGCCCCCCCTTCAGGTTCCAGGGCTAACTATGACTTCCTTTATGCTCAAGATAGCCTTGGAAGGGGCTGGGGTGAGGGAAGCTTAGTTGTAAAAAAAACACCAATAGCAACTCTGAGCTTAGCAGCACTGATGCAACTGTGAGTTTTTGCTTGCTTGCTTGCTTACTGTTAAAGGTGCCTCCCTGCCGCATTCTGAGGCTCCCAAAGTCACCTTTGAGGCAAAAGGGAGCCTTAGGAAGCCTCAGAACTAGAAAGGAGGGGATCGAAAACTTTAATGTATAATTACATATTTCCAGTACCTGATCTGGATTACGCTGGTGTAAAGTTATGAAGCAGAATTTTCCCCAGTCCATTAGAATGTTAACATGTACACAAATGTTTTCTTATCTCTAACAAAGAAAAAATGTCTTGTTCCTGCATGAGGTTGAAAAGGCACTGTTAGCATCCAAGTAAGCTGTTCCCAGTCTACCTTGAACAATCAGCAGTTGGACATGGATGACAAGCATTATAAGCAAGATACCAAAGTATGTGAAACCCTGCACAGTTATATGCTTTACCTTGACTTTCAGTGCACATAAATTGGCTCTCATATTTATCTTTTTAAAATTATTTATTTATCAATCGATGATTGCTGGTTGAAATCCAGGAGTTCAGTTGTGTGCATTAAGTTTCCGTTACTAACTAAGATATCATCTAAAGTTCTTAGAGGTTTGGAATGTCACACCTACAATGCTGCATTTATTATTTGAACATTGGTTGAAATTCAGTTGTTTAGCATAGTAAGTTGCAATGAGAGTTGATTGATTCAGTGGAACTTAACGTAGGAGTTGGTCCTGCTCTATTTGTGACTTACTAAGCTAAACAGAGTTTCAGCCAGAAAATGTATTTCTTTACTGCATTTATATCCCACCTGTCCACAAAAGAGTTGGGGCAGGGTACATGGTTGGCTCTTCTCCCCACTGTCCTCACAAAAATGCTGTAAGGTAGACAGATAGAGAGGTAGCTACTGGACAGAGTCACCCACATTGAACCTGTGGCTCTCCTAGCCTGGTTCTGATACTCTAATTATTTGCACTGCATTGCTTAAATGCCATTTCCCAGTTAAGATACCTTTAGGACCAATTTACAGTGGTGCCTCGCTTGATGTTAATTTGTTCCAGCAAAATCGCTGTAGAGCGAAAACAGTGTCAAACGAAATGAAAAAACAACAACATTGAAATGCATTAAAACCTGGTTAATGTGTTCCAATGGGCTGAATACCTGCTCATCTAGCAAAGATCCTCCATACAGCGGCCATTTTCGGTGCCTGTATAGTGAGGAATCCGACCTAGAAAACAGCAGGGGGCCATTTTGAAAGCCAGCAGCCATTTTCAAACCCGACGATCAGCTCTTTGCTGATTGTCGTAAAGCAAAACATCGGTTCCTCAAACAGGGAACCGATCAACGTGAAGCGAAATTCCCCCATTTAAAACATCATTTTGCGATCGCAAAAGCAATCACAAAAACATCAACATAATGTGGATTCATCATAGAGCGGGGTAATCGTCCAGCGGGGCATGACTGTAGTTTAACTGTAACTAATGGTTAACAAAATTTTAGTCAAAACAATTGGAAAAAGAATTTTACCATAGTTAAAATGTGCCAACTACTTTTTTAAAAAGGCTGAATCCTTTCCAGACAGAAAATTTAAGTATCAAACAAAACAGAACAGTGTGAACAAAACAGTTCTCCATTATTCAGGTTGAACATTAAACAAGCAAACAAATGCCTTAAGGCTTGATGCAACTCGAGAGTATGCCCAGCCTAAATTAATTATGTCTGTGTAACATTTCTCCATTCTGTTTCAGGACTGTTGTAAATTGAAGACCAGAGCTTTTAAATTCTGTCCAGCAACACACGTTTCATCTTCTATTACTACTACAACTGCTAAATATTTCCTCCTAATAACATGCCTGTTGCTGAGGTCAATTTAGTTCTGGTCCCAAAGGCTTATGGGGAAGAATGATGTGGGAAGGCAGAGGACTTGCTTGAATTTGTATCAAAGAGCAGTGTTTATGTAAGAAAATGTTTATGGAAGGATTTGGTCCTTGAATTATTTCTACCAGTTGCCCAATAATAACCCAATGCAGCTCAGTCTAAATTAATGGAAGATGTACACATTTCCATTTAAAATCCATGGGAGTAGTCTGATTGATTGATATTCCTTATTTTTCCATTGGGGTTTAAAAAGAAACAGGAGACCCAATTACAGTGCTACTTAAATGTAATGACCTTGATATAATCTTGAACTGGATATAGTACCTGCAGATACATAGGAATACAAGATAATTCAAAAGTGCCTCATTTCCCTGTTCCCACCTATCAGTATGACCACACAGGTCCTGGAAGTGTCTAGAAGCAGCAGTTCTCCCATTTCAGTCAGTGCAATGCACGCTAAGGGGTTAATATGCACAC